CTTGTAGCACTGGCCTTACTGCCATAAGATATACTGGGACTAACCTTGTAGCACTGGCCTTACTGCCATAAGATGTACTGGGACTAACCTTGTAGCACTGGCCTTACTGCCATAAGTTGTACTGGGACTAACCTTGTAGCACTGGCCTTACTGCCATAAGATGTACTGGGACTAACCTTGTAGCACTGGTCACTGGCCTTACTGCCATAAGATGTACTGGGACTAACCTTGTAGCACTGGTCACTGCCCTTACTGCCATAAGATGTACTGGGACTAACCTTGTAGCACTGGTCACTGCCCTTACTGCCATAAGATGTACTGGGACTAACCTTGTAGCACTGGCCTTACTGCCATAAGATGTACTGGGACTAACCTTGTAGCACTGGTCTTACTGCCATAAGATGTACTGGGACTAACCTTGTAGCACTGGCCTTACTGCCATAAGATGTACTGGGACTAACCTTGTAGCACTGGCCTTACTGCCATAAGATGTACTGGGACTAACCTTGTAGCACTGGCCTTACTGCCATAAGATGTACTGGGACTAACCTTGTAGCACTGGCCTTACTGCCATAAGATGTACTGGGACTAACCTTGTAGCACTGGCCTTACTGCCATAAGATGTACTGGGACTAACCTTGTAGCACTGGTCACTGGCCTTACTGCCAGCATTAGATTCATTAGGTTGCCAGGTCTGGTGGGGGCTGCAGCCATACATAAAGATATTTTTTCTTCTCGAGTGCCCGTGGTAATCACAGTATATCTGTAATAGTTAGAGATATGAACATAATACATGCCTGTGGTAATCACAGTATATCTGTAATAGTTAGAGATATGAACATAATACATGCCCGTGGTAATCACAGTATATCTGTAATAGTTAGAGATATGAACATAATATATGCCCGTGGTAATCACAGTATATCTGTAATAGTTAGAGATATGAACATAATATATGCCTGTGGTAATCATAGTATATCTGTAATAGTTAGAGATATGAACATAATATATGCCTGTGGTAATCATAGTATATCTGTAATAGTTAGAGATATGAACATAATATATGCCCGTGGTAATCACAGTATATCTGTAATAGTTAGAGATATGAACATAATATATGCCCGTGGTAATCACAGTATATCTGTAATAGAGATATGAACATAATATATGCCCGTGGTAATCACAGTATATCTGTAATAGTTAGAGATATGAACATAATACATGCCTGTGGTAATCATAGTATATCTGTAATAGTTAGAGATATGAACATAATATATGCCTGTGGTAATCATAGTATATCTGTAATAGTTAGAGATATGAACATAATATATGCCCGTGGTAATCACAGTATATCTGTAATAGTTAGAGATATGAACATAATATATGCCCGTGGTAATCACAGTATATCTGTAATAGAGATATGAACATAATACATGCCCGTGGTAATCACAGTATATCTGTAATAGTTAGAGATATGAACATAATACATGCCCGTGGTAATCACAGTATATCTGTAATAGTTAGAGATATGAACATAATATATGCCCGTGGTAATCACAGTATATCTGTAATAGAGATATGAACATAATACATGCCCGTGGTAATCACAGTATATCTGTAATAGTTAGAGATATGAACATAATACATGCCCGTGGTAATCACAGTATATCTGTAATAGTTAGAGATATGAACATAATATATGCCTGTGGTAATCATAGTATATCTGTAATAGTTAGAGATATGAACATAATATATGCCTGTGGTAATCATAGTATATCTGTAATAGTTAGAGATATGAACATAATATATGCCCGTGGTAATCACAGTATATCTGTAATAGTTAGAGATATGAACATAATATATGCCTGTGGTAATCATAGTATATCTGTAATAGTTAGAGATATGAACATAATATATGCCTGTGGTAATCATAGTATATCTGTAATAGTTAGAGATATGAACATAATATATGCCTGTGGTAATCATAGTATATCTGTAATAGTTAGAGATATGAACATAATATATGCCTGTGGTAATCATAGTATATCTGTAATAGTTAGAGATATGAACATAATATATGCCTGTGGTAATCATAGTATATCTGTAATAGTTAGAGATATGAACATAATACATGCCCGTGGTAATCACAGTATATCTGTAATAGTTAGAGATATGAACATAATATATGCCCGTGGTAATCACAGTATATCTGTAATAGTTAGAGATATGAACATAATATATGCCCGTGGTAATCACAGTATATCTGTAATAGAGATATGAACATAATACATGCCCGTGGTAATCACAGTATATCTGTAATAGTTAGAGATATGAACATAATACATGCCCGTGGTAATCACAGTATATCTGTAATAGTTAGAGATATGAACATAATACATGCCCGTGGTAATCACAGTATATCTGTAATAGTTAGAGATATGAACATAATACATGCCCGTGGTAATCACAGTATATCTGTAATAGTTAGAGATATGAACATAATACATGCCCGTGGTAATCACAGTATATCTGTAATAGTTAGAGATATGAACATAATACATGCCTGTGGTAATCATAGTATATCTGTAATAGTTAGAGATATGAACATAATACATGCCCGTGGTAATCACAGTATATCTGTAATAGTTAGAGATATGAACATAATATATGCCCGTGGTAATCACAGTATATCTGTAATAGTTAGAGATATGAACATAATACATGCCCGTGGTAATCACAGTATATCTGTAATAGTTAGAGATATGAACATAATACATGCCCGTGGTAATCACAGTATATCTGTAATAGTTAGAGATATGAACATAATATATGCCTGTGGTAATCATAGTATATCTGTAATAGTTAGAGATATGAACATAATACATGCCCGTGGTAATCACAGTATATCTGTAATAGTTAGAGATATGAACATAATACATGCCCGTGGTAATCACAGTATATCTGTAATAGTTAGAGATATGAACATAATATATGCCTGTGGTAATCATAGTATATCTGTAATAGTTAGAGATATGAACATAATATATGCCTGTGGTAATCATAGTATATCTGTAATAGTTAGAGATATGAACATAATACATGCCTGTGGTAATCACAGTATATCTGTAATAGTTAGAGATATGAACATAATATATGCCTGTGGTAATCATAGTATATCTGTAATAGTTAGAGATATGAACATAATATATGCCTGTGGTAATCATAGTATATCTGTAATAGTTAGAGATATGAACATAATATATGCCTGTGGTAATCATAGTATATCTGTAATAGTTAGAGATATGAACATAATACATGCCCGTGGTAATCACAGTATATCTGTAATAGTTAGAGATATGAACATAATATATGCCTGTGGTAATCATAGTATATCTGTAATAGTTAGAGATATGAACATAATACATGCCCGTGGTAATCACAGTATATCTGTAATAGTTAGAGATATGAACATAATACATGCCCGTGGTAATCACAGTATATCTGTAATAGTTAGAGATATGAACATAATATATGCCTGTGGTAATCATAGTATATCTGTAATAGTTAGAGATATGAACATAATATATGCCTGTGGTAATCATAGTATATCTGTAATAGTTAGAGATATGAACATAATACATGCCTGTGGTAATCACAGTATATCTGTAATAGTTAGAGATATGAACATAATATATGCCTGTGGTAATCATAGTATATCTGTAATAGTTAGAGATATGAACATAATACATGCCTGTGGTAATCATAGTATATCTGTAATAGTTAAAGATAAAATATGGTTACCACAAGGAATAGGGGCTTGAGTCATAAACATAATACTTGATTTGGGACTGTAAGTAAAATATTATAAAATGCTTTGAATTAGGCTGCATCCTGCTTCCGAATAACCACAACCGCTATAAGGACCAGTGTTTCTTTCAAAGTTTGTTCTCTGGATTGGGGGAAGGCACTTTTTAGGGGGGGGGGGGGCGCTCTCACTACAAGTGCCCCATATGGTCACTGGATGGTTTAATCATCAACTGTCGGATGGTTTAATCATCCACTGTTGGGTGGCACTATGTCAATTAATAAAGAGCTCCTTGAAACTAATGTAGTGCAAGAGTGCTCATGGTATAGCCCAGGCGCCAATTCGCACCATACAGGGGTGCCTGATTCAATTTAATGAAAGATTATGGTACCACATTTCATCCATATTCTATTGTACTCTTTAAAATGAAGTAGGCCTAGTACACGCCATATATATATATATATATATATATATATATATATATATATATATATATATATATATATATATATATATATATATCTCCATATATTTATATATATATATATACATATATATATTTATATACATATATACATATATATATATATATATATATATATATATATATATATACATATACATATATATATATATATATATATATATATATATATATATATATATATTTATGTTTTTATATTAATAAATATCTTTATATGTAAATGGTGACATACCAATGGGGGTTTGTTGATAGCACTGAGATACTGGAGAAGACCTTTTGTGTGATAGATTGTTGGGTGCAGTATAGAACACGGCTTACCCCATCTGCGGTTCAAATCTTCTCCAACCAGAGATGAGCGATGGCTGAAAACATCTTTATTAGATCAAATACTTTACAATCTTAAAACATCTTTATTAGATCAAATACTTTACAATCTTAAAACATCTTTATTAGATCAAATACTTTAAAATCTTAAAACATCTTTATAAGATCAAATACTTTACAATCTTACATTTTATACAATCTTAAGAGGGGAAAAATCAGAAAACCATTAAGTTAAAATATATGTGCGAAAATTCGAGCAGAGATTCACTTCAAGCTGACCATTCATCCAATCTAGTATAGCCTAAACCTTCAGTATACATTGTGTAACTGCTGGATGTCTTTCATTACATGACATCATTTACCCAGGACACCATTTACCTAGTACACCATTTACCCATGACATTAACCCATGATGACATTAACCCAAGACACCATTTACCCAAGATGACATTTTACCAAGACACCATTTACCCATGATGACATTTACCCATGACATTAACCCATGATGACATTAACCCAAGACACCATTTACCCAAGATGACATTTTACCAAGACACCATTTACCCATGACGACATTTACCCAAGACACCATTTACCCATGATGACATTTACCCAAGACACCATTTACCCATGATGACATTTACCAAGACACCATTTACCCATGACGACATTTACCCAAGACACCATTTACCCATGACGACATTTACCCATGATGACATTTACCCATGACACCATTTACCCATGACGACATTTACCCATGACGACATTTACCCATGACATTAACCCATGATGACATTAACCCAAGACACCATTTACCCAAGATGACATTTTACCAAGACACCATTTACCCATGATGACATTTACCCATGACATTAACCCATGATGACATTAACCCAAGACACCATTTACCCAAGATGACATTTTACCAAGACACCATTTACCCATGACGACATTTACCCAAGACACCATTTACCCATGATGACATTTACCAAGACACCATTTACCCATGACGACATTTACCCAAGACACCATTTACCCATGACACCATTTACCCATGATGACATTTACCCATGACGACATTTACCCAAGACACCATTTACCCATGACACCATTTACCCATGATGACATTTACCCATGACACCATTTACCCATGACGACATTTACCCATGACACCATTTACCCATGACGACATTTACCCAAGACACCATTTACAGTCAATATTTGTTCAAGTCCTCCCACATTACAGTCCATATTTGACCAATTTGTATGGTTAATAGAGCCTGATATTTGCATTACCTTCCATTTATAACGCCACCAGGGTTTAACATTGGAACAATCTTACCTTCCATTTATAACGCCACCAGGGTTTAACATTGGAACAATCTTACCTTCCATTTATAACGCCACCAGGGTTTAACATTGGAACAATCTTACCTTCCATTTATAACGCCACCAGGGTTTAACATTGGAACAATCTTACCTTCCATTTATAACGCCATCAGGGTTTAACATTGGAACAATCTTACCTTCCATTTATAACGCCACCAGGGTTTAACATTGGAACAATCTTACCTTCCATTTATAATGCCACCAGGGTTCAACATTGGAACAATCTTACCTTCCATTTATAACGCCACCAGGGTTTAACATTGGAACAATCTTACCTTCCATTTATAACGCCATCAGGGTTTAACATTGGAACAATCTTACCTTCCATTTATAACGCCACCAGGGTTTAACATTGGAACAATCTTACCTTCCATTTATAACGCCACCAGGGTTTAACATTGGAACAATCTTACCTTCCATTTATAACGCCATCAGGGTTTAACATTGGAACAATCTTACCTTCCATTTATAACGCCACCAGGGTTTAACATTGGAACAATCTTACCTTCCATTTATAACGCCACCAGGGTTTAACATTGGAACAATCTTACCTTCCATTTATAACGCCACCAGGGTTTAACATTAGAACAATCTTACCTTCCATTTATAACGCCATCAGGGTTTAACATTGGAACAATCTTACCTTCCATTTATAACGCCACCAGGCTTTAACATTGGAACAATCTTACCTTCCATTTATAACGCCACCAGGGTTTAACATTGGAACAATCTTATCTTCCATTTATAACGCCACCAGGGTTTAACATTGGAACAATCTTACCTTCCATTTATAACGCCATCAGGGTTTAACATTGGAACAATCTTACCTTCCATTTATAACGCCATCAGGGTTTAACATTGGAACAATCTTACCTTCCATTTATAACGCCATCAGGGTTTAACATTGGAACAATCTTGAAAATAAAATTTTCTCTCACATCTTGCCCTTTTTTGCTCAGTAAAAAATCTATTGTTCCTGAAATAAAATAAATAAAGCGTGAGTGATCTCCCCTATACTTTCTATTGTTCCTAAAATAAAATAAATAAAGCGTGAGTGATCTCCCCTATACTTTCTATTGTTCCTAAAATAAAATAAATAAAGCATGAGTGATCTCCCCTATACTTTCTATTGTTCCTAAAATAAAATAAATAAAGCATGAGTGATCTCCCCTATATTTTCTATTGTTCCTGAAATAAAATAAATAAAGTGTGAGTGATCTCCCCTATATTTTCTATTGTTCCTGAAATAAAATAAATAAAGCGTGAGTGATCTCCCCTATACTTTCTATTGTTCCTAAAATAAAATAAATAAAGCATGAGTGATCTCCCCTATACTTTCTATTGTTCCTGAAATAAAATAAATAAAGTGTGAGTGATCTCCCCTATACTTTCTATTGTTCCTAAAATAAAATAAATAAAGCATGAGTGATCTCCCCTATACTTTCTATTGTTCCTAAAATAAAATAAATAAAGCATGAGTGATCTCCCCTATACTTTCTATTGTTCCTGAAATAAAATAAATAAAGTGTGAGTGATCTCCCCTATACTTTCTATTGTTCCTGAAATAAAATAAATAAAGCGTGAGTGATCTCCCCTATACTTTCTATTGTTCCTGAAATAAAATAAATAAAGCGTGAGTGATCTCCCCTATACTTTCTATTGTTCCTGAAATAAAATAAATAAAGCATGAGTGATCTCCCCTATACTTTCTATTGTTCCTGAAATAAAATAAATAAAGCGTGAGTGATCTCCCCTATATTTTCTATTGTTCCTGAAATAAAATAAATAAAGCGTGAGTGATCTCCCCTATATTTTCTATTGTTCCTGAAATAAAATAAATAAAGCGTGAGTGATCTCCCCTATACTTTCTATTGTTCCTAAAATAAAATAAATAAAGCATGAGTGATCTCCCCTATACTTTCTATTGTTCCTAAAATAAAATAAATAAAGCATGAGTGATCTCCCCTATATTTTCTATTGTTCCTGAAATAAAATAAATAAAGTGTGAGTGATCTCCCCTATATTTTCTATTGTTCCTGAAATAAAATAAATAAAGCGTGAGTGATCTCCCCTATACTTTCTATTGTTCCTAAAATAAAATAAATAAAGCATGAGTGATCTCCCCTATACTTTCTATTGTTCCTGAAATAAAATAAATAAAGTGTGAGTGATCTCCCCTATACTTTCTATTGTTCCTAAAATAAAATAAATAAAGCATGAGTGATCTCCCCTATACTTTCTATTGTTCCTAAAATAAAATAAATAAAGCATGAGTGATCTCCCCTATACTTTCTATTGTTCCTGAAATAAAATAAATAAAGTGTGAGTGATCTCCCCTATACTTTCTATTGTTCCTGAAATAAAATAAATAAAGCGTGAGTGATCTCCCCTATACTTTCTATTGTTCCTGAAATAAAATAAATAAAGCATGAGTGATCTCCCCTATACTTTCTATTGTTCCTAAAATAAAATAAATAAAGCATGAGTGATCTCCCCTATACTTTCTATTGTTCCTGAAATAAAATAAATAAAGCGTGAGTGATCTCCCCTATACTTTCTATTGTTCCTGAAATAAAATAAATAAAGCATGAGTGATCTCCCCTAAACTTTCTGGAATATATAAGACTACTGGGGATGGCAAGTCTGGATATAGACATGATTTTTAATCAATTTTTAATTGCTTAAACTTTTTAAAATTTAATAGAATATAGTAGAAAAAAGAATTGAGCAAATGTGTAAAATAGTGCAGATTATTCAGACTGCATAAATTCATATAAATTTTTTAAGGAAATAGCACAGTATTACTTCCAGTACACTCAAATTTGACAGAAGATAGAGAATTAGATCTTGTACATAGAGAATTAGATCTTGTACATAGAGAATTAGATCTTGTACATAGAGAATTAGATCTTGTACATAGAGAATTAGATCTTGTACATAGAGAATTAGATCTTGTACATAGAGAATTAGATCTTGTACATAGAGAATTAGATCTTGTACATAGAGAATTAGATCTTGTACATAGAGAAATAGATCTTGTACATAGAGAATTAGATTTTGTACATAGAGAATTAGATCTTGTACATAGAGAATTAGATCTTGTACATAGAGAATTAGATCTTGTACATAGAGAATTAGATCTTGTGCATAGAGAATTAGATCTTGTACATAGAGAATTAGATCTTGTACATAGAGAACTAGATCTTGTACTTAAATGTGAATTTTGGTCTATCTGTCTGAAATAGTACTCAAGCTATAGGCTTTTGAAAAACCAAAAGTAGAATAAGTTTCACTTCCAGTTAACGGCAATTGCTGAAAAGTTTATACAGAACTACAAATTTCATGTTATACTTATATATGAAATTTCATCAACCTAGCTGTAACGGTACTCAAGTTATTGTGTTGACAGACACACAAACACACACACAGACAGAATTGCAAAGCCCAGTTTTTCTGACTCCATGACACATAAATCACCAAAATTTTGATACATCTGGATTTATAATTTTTGCCCCATTAAAAAAAAAACCCTATACTGCATATATGATGAAGTACTGAAGTGTAAAAGTGAAAATTCAAAATTTCATCTGATTTTTGTGCAGGATTACAATCCTCTATACTCTCTATACGAGAAAGTAAAAATCTATTGTTCCTGAAATAAAGTAAAAAATGTTTTGTAATTATCTAAAGAAATGGAATATAAAATCTATTATTATAGAAATAGAAGGGAGTTGCATACAGTATACACTAGCAGTTTAAGATGTAAGATAAATTAAAAGAATACACCATTCATGAAAGATCAATTGGGCTTAGGAGAAGCAAATACCTCTTAGAGAAAGGCAACATGTTTAAAAAAAAATATATTGCAAATTAAAAAAAAAATAGGTGGAACATTTCGGAATGTACATTTCAATTAAACATGGTGAAAAATTGCTGAGGTCAAATTCTTGAATCTGTGCTTTACCCATTGACCATACATGACCCACTGACCTTTCATGACCCACTGACCTTTCATGACCCACTGACCTTTGATGACCCACTGACCTTTCATGACCCACTGACCTTTCATGACCCAGCTGGCATTGCTCTCTCCTGGATGGACGCGACTGGTTAAAAAAATGTATGGTCGACTTCCTGGATAACAAAAGTGACAATCAAACTTCTCATTTGATATACTATTAAAAACACATGTATGTAGTACTTCTAATACTTTTGAGCTAACAAAGTACTTGAAGAAGTCAGGCTGATATTACAAGTACGGTCGTACCTCAAGATGTCAAGTTTATTTGTTCTTTCAAGATATCAAGTTTATTTGTTCCCTAACAATTTGTTCAATGTCAAATTAAAAAATGTATTTATAAACATTAAATCTTGCATAAGAATTCCACCTCAGTGCTGCCCCCCCCCCCCCCCCCCCCCCCCCCACCCCACCGTCCGTACTGCACTTACTGAACTCTTCTAGTCCCTCTGCGTCCAAGCTGTGTGGCTGTGCTGTGATGGTCAGAACTGGAACATCATTACCTCCTAAGGTGGTGCACAGAGTTTGTTGGCGGTAAAATATTTGGCTGGCATCAAAGTGGTTCTCCCATTGCTTTAAATGTGTCTGGGGGAGGGGAATAGAACATTAAAATATTTGGCTGGCATCAAAGTGGTTCTCCCATTGCTTTAAATGTGTCTGGGGGAGGGGAATAGAACATTAAAATATTTGGCTGGCATCAAAGTGGTTCTCCCATTGCTTTAAATGTGTCTGGGGGAGGGGAATAGAACATTAAAATATTTGGCTGGCATCAAAGTGGTTCTCCCATTGCTTTAAATGTGTCTGGGGGGGGGGGAATAGAACATTAAAATATTTGGCTGGCATCAAAGTGGTTTTCCCATTGCTTTAAATGTGTCTGGGGGGGGGGAATAGAACATTAAAATATTTGGCTGGCATCAAAGTGGTTTTCCCATTGCTTTAAATGTGTCTGGGGGAGGGGAATAGAACATTAAAATATTTGGCTGGCATCAAAGTGGTTCTCCCATTGCTTTAAATGTGTCTGGGGGGGGGGGGGGAATAGAACATTAAAATATTTGGCTGGCATCAAAGTGGTTCTCCCATTGCTTTAAATGTGTCTGGGGGAGGGGAATAGAACATTAAAATATTTGGCTGGCATCAAAGTGGTTCTCCCATTGCTTTAAATGTGTCTGGGGGAGGGGAATAGAACATTAAAATATTTGGCTGGCATCAAAGTGGTTTTCCCATTGCTTTAAATGTGTCTGGGGGGGGGGGGGGAATAGAACATTAAAATATTTGAGTGACATATACGTTGGCTGATCTTCATTCAGCACACCTTGTTAAGACAAAATGTTAAGGCCATTATTTAAACAAGAAATTGAGATTCAATTTAAAAAAAAAAGCTTGAGAGTAAATGGTATTTTGTTTTTCGTTTCATAGATAGAAAAAAATATGCTTTTAAATGTTTGTATTGCAAATATAAATGTCTAAGAATGAGAAAAAAATATGCTTTTAAATGTTTGTATTGCAAATATAACTTTATAAAACGGATTTTAGGGCACTTACCCTCTTTACATCTGGCTAATTTTGGCATGTTTATAGGTAAATGGCTTGGCCGAAGGGCAGACCTGTCAGTCTCACTCAAAGCCCTCGACGAGGGCTAAAAAGTGACCGCGAGTGAAATTCTCTTTATATGAGCTCTATTACGAAAAAAAATTTCCTCCAACGACCCCCCTTGATATTTTGTGAGGTGGTAGGAGAACGCCTTGGGTTGTCACAAAAAACTCGGCATATCTGGGAAAACTTCGTAAAGGGGTCAAAACTGACCAGTTTATTTCCCTATATAATCTTTGTATTTTATGGGAAAAACAGAGGGTCATTTCAACGCGGATTTTAGGGTACTTAAACTCAGTATATCTGGCTAATTTTTTGCACACTCTTAGGTGAATGGCTTGACCTTTAGGGAAAACTGTCGGTTTCACTCAATGCCCTCGACGAGGGCTAAAAAGTGACCGCGAGTGAAATTCTCTTTATATGAGCTCTATTACGAAAAAAAATTTCCTCCGACGACCCCCCTTGAAATTTTGTGAGGTGGTAGGAGAACGCCTTGGGGTGTCACAAAAAACTCGCCATGTCCGGGAAAAATCGGGAAATGGGTCAAAACTGACCAGTCGTATTTCCCTATATAATCTTTGTATTTTATGGCAAAAACAGGGAAATATTAACACAATTTTTAGGTTACTTAACGTCTGTACATCATGCTAAGTTTTTGCATACACTACTATAGATGACTATGCCGTATGGAAAAACTGTTGGTCAGACTCAAAGCCCTCGACGAGGGCTAAAAGATGATCGTGAGTGAAGTTCTCCTTATATGAGATATACATATAAATAAACTGACGAACGATCCCCTTAATATTTTATGACGTCGTAGACCAACCCTGAAGGGTAACAAAAAATTTTTATTCCTGTCGGGAACAGCCATTATAGTCGTTAAATATGTTCATATAGCGTAATTTCTTATATAAGCATAGCAACTGTTTGTAAAAAAAAAATAAACAAAGACATACGTCATACGTTCAGTTTTCAAGGGAGGTAACGTTTTTAAAATTATTATTTTTCAAATAATTGTATACTATTTTAAACAGAAACAGAAAATAACGAAGTATAGCATTTGTTTTAGTACAAAATTAAGTTGGTAATTCAGTTACGTATCCTAATTAAATAATTAAATAAATTTCAAAAGGCAATGTAATATAAACTATCAGATATACTGTTCATGGAACCTGTGTAGTTCTAATTCCATTTTAGTTATAGATTGCGTACTTTCCAATATATCTCTGAGGACGGAATTTAAATGACAAACAAAAACATTTTTTCTAAAGATAGCATTACTGTTTAGATTAAAGCACTCCACACCCAATCCATCGCTAAATTATTAAGTATTCAAATTCTCAAATGTTTTTTAAAAACCTAAGCGAAGCTAGGCAGTATGCCTAGTAGTTTTATAAATTAATACTAAAAGTGTTGTAAATCAATTTCCATTTTTCAAACTGATAATAATAATTGTCGGCATGTTCATTATACACATTTTTAAAAAAATATCTCTTACAAAAAATCTAATTATGTCTGAAATTTTTTATATTTAGTCCTTTAGCACTTACTTCCCTTGATAAATTAGGAAAACACAATTACTTCCCTTTAAAAAAACACATCTGGTGGAAACAAATTTGACTTTTTATTACTTTGTTTTGGTGTTGCGAAAAAAATAATTACATAATTAGTGGGGATTGATCAAGTGCAATGTTGTAGGTATTTTAAATACTGCCTTTTATTTATTTCATACACTGAGCGTACTGTTTACTACTTATTTTTTAGCGCAATTTCCATTCTGGAGAATTGCGTTTATTAACCCGTCATTTCTGGATGGATGGATGGATGAATGTATGGATGTGTGTCCGCAGGTTTAAGTCGTATCTCCTCCTCAACGAAGCAATTATGTTAAGCAAGTTACGAGGATGAACATAGGCCATAAAAATTCCGGGTTTCTTTCATGGATTTCCCAGAAAAGCCAAAAAACCTCGAAAAAAATTCAGTTTTTGGCCCATATCTCGGCAACCAGACCACTTATCGACTTGAAACATGTACCAATCGATTCCTGCCATAATTTAGAACAATATTGCCGAAGAAAGTTTTCAAAAATATCCTTTCGTTTGGTCACAAAATTTTTTTTGAATTAATTAAAATTTGGACCGAATTAGTAGGCATTTTATGCAACCACACCACACGCGTCATCACGTTCAATAGCTGCGCCATCACGTTCAATGGCTGCGACATCACGTTCGGTAGCTAGGCGCGCAATGGTTTTTAGTCATGTTACTCTATTGTAAATAAAACATGTAAAATACTGAATTTTTTTTAAAATAAAAAACGTTTTAATAACTAACCAATGGTTTTACTAACCCTGCTCTTGATTTACGCTACGACAGAGCTATTTTTAGATAACATAAGGAAATTGCGCTAAAATTGTCACTAGACTTTTTTTAATTACTTGTTTTATCAAAGACATTTGACGATAAAAAACAGACATCTTTAATCAAGAACAGGAATTCCTGCAGGTTATTATTTGTGTCTTTTTTTTTTTTTTCACATTCGTTTTTGTCTGACTTTTTTACGTCCGAAGGAGAATTCGTTTTGGTTGGTTGCACCAGAAAGTTGTGTTTGTGTTGTGTTGTGTTTGTGTTTAGGGTGGGCAATTCCGGGATATATGCTAATTACTTAACACACATGTCATGGTTCTTTACAGATAGGTTTCTCACAGAGGCCAGTGCAGGGCCTGGCCGGGACAGCTAGTAACTTTATAAGAATGTTAAGCCCATTATTTAAACAAGAAATTGAGATTCAATTTTAAAAAAAAAGCTTGAGAGTAAATGGTATTTTGTTTTTCGTTTCATAGATAGAAAAAAATATGCTTTTAAATGTTTGTATTGCAAATATAAATTTCTAAGAATGAGAAAAATATATGCTTTTAAATGTTTGTATTGCAAATATAAATTTCTAAGAATGAGAAAAATATATGCTTTTAAATGTTTGTATTGCAAATATAAATTTCTAAGAATGAGAAAAAATATGCTTTTAAATGTTTTAAAGCTGTGTATGTATATGGGTAGTGGTAAAATACCTTTAAAGCTGTGTATGTATATGGGTAGTGGTAAAATACCTTTAAAGCTGTGTATGTATATGGGTAGTGGTAAAATACCTTTAAAGCTGTGTATGTATATGGGTAGTGGTAAAATACCTTTAAAGCTGTGTATGTATATGGGTAGTGGTAACTCAGGTAGCAGATGTCCCCAGTGTTAGGGAAGACAAGGCTGAATGTTGCTGTGTAGTAAGATTTTCCCTGAACACCTCCAGTGGTGGTGGCATTGCGCAGAAAGTGGTTTCTGTAATAGCAGATGTCATAGCCCACTCTAGCCCAACATGGGTTGCCCTCTAAAGCTTCCATCACAGACATCAACAATGGCTGCATGCCTGTAAACAAAAAAACAAAACATCAACAATGGCTGCATGCCTGTAAACAAAAAAACAAAACATCAACAATGGCTGCATGCCTGTAAACAAAAAAACAAAACATCAACAATGGCTGCATGCCTGTAAACAAAAAAACAAAACATCAACAATGGCTGCATGCCTGTAAACAAAAAAACAAAACATCAACAATGGCTGCATGCCTGTAAACAAAAAAACAAAACATCAACAATGGCTGCATGCCTGTAAACAAAAAAACAAAACATCAACAATGGCTGCATGCCTGTAAACAAAAAAACAAAACATCAACAATGGCTGCATGCCTGTAAACAAAAAAACAAAACATCAACAATGGCTGCATGCCTGTAAACAAAAAAACAAAACATCAACAATGGCTGCATGCCTGTAAACAAAAAAACAAAACATCAACAATGGCTGCATGCCTGTAAACAAAAAAACAAAACATTAACAATGGCTTTACATATACTCAAGATTTCATTTTGCCATACACTTCAAGTTGAACACTTACCAAAGTTAAACTGACTGTTTAGCTTTTCACAGTTGACAATGTTAAACCGGTAGCTTTGATCTTTCCTCATGTTGCTGATTTCAAAGTAGAACCATTGATGGTGATGGTTAGAGTTGATGTCTGGGCTCAAGATCAAATCATATTCAAATTGGCGAACCTTACATTCAAACAAAACTAACGTTAGTGGGGGTTTAGACTGGGTTCCAGTTTGGGCAAGTGATCAAAAGAAAAAAAAACTTACTTGAACAACTTTACGTAAATTTCCACATTCAAACTGGGCGTTAAATTTCAGAGAATCAGAATGTGGGTCCACAAACCCTAACCTAAAATTCAGACAAAAGCAACTCATTAGATGTCTATAGTTTTAAAGCTATATTGTATATAGATTCATTTGTTTATATTTTACTTAGGCATTATGCCAAGCTTTGGTTAGATTTCTTTTTAAATTATGCTTAAAATCTGACTCTATATTTAACCCTTATACTAATACTCACCAATTACAAAACTTAACACTATTGCTAGTTAACACTATTGATAGTTTAACACTATTGCTAGTTTAACACCAACCTCTTTAACTAAAACTCTTTGGGGGAATTTTTATACCTGTGTCAGATAATGGAATTTTCTTTTAAAAAAAATGGGTGTTAGGTTACTGGTAGCTCACTAAATACACACATGGCTGGCTAATGTCAAAGCTAACCCCGTCCATAACGCTAACCTAAACCCTGGTCCTACCCCGTCCATAACGCTAACCTAAACCCTGGTCCTACCATACGCCTAACACTAATTTCTAACCATAAAATTAGTCGAGATTACAATACTACTAACAACCCAACACCCCTATTTTATGGATGAGTCTATTATCAGACATCGGTATCTAGAATAATCCAATTCTTTAAAAAAAGGGGAGAAATCTCCCTAATCTTTTATTCTTAAATAACAGTAATGGTGATGGCAACTCCTGTGCAGTTGGGGGGGGGGGGGTGGTTTAGGGGGGCTTATCATTTGATACTACAACATTACTAATTCCACTATGTTCTGGTGTGGGGATGGGGGGGGGGGGGGAGCTTATCATTTGATACCACAACATTACTAATCCCACTATGTTCTGGTGTGGGGATGGGGGGGGGGGGGGGGAGGGAGCTTATCATTTGATACCACAACATTACTAATTCCACTATGTTCTGGTGTGGGGATGGGGGGGGGGAGCTTATCATTTGATACCACAACATTACTAATTCCACTATGTTCTGGTGTGGGGATGGGGGGGGGGGAGCTTATCATTTGATACCACAACATTACTAATTCCACTATGTTCTGGTGTGGGGATGGGGGGGGAGCTTATCATTTGATACCACAACATTACTAATTCCACTATGTTCTGGTGTGGGGATGGGGGGGGGGGAGCTTATCATTTGATACCACAACATTACTAATTCCACTATGTTCTGGTGTGGGGATGGGGGGGGGGGGGGGGAGCTTATCACTAGATACCTCTTATGTCCAGCTCAGTGAAACTCTACTTCATCTGCCCTATGAATTCCAGTTCAAGAACTTAATATCAATGTAAAGTTAGTACATGAATGGAATTTTTTAGATTTTACTGCTGGTGGGGGAAGAGATAAGTAACTGAACTATTTGGTGAGAAAATTATACTACAACCAACTACAACCAACTACAATCAACTACAATCAACAATCCTGAATGATTCCGTGATCTTAAAACTTTCAAATAAGATTAGTAAACTCTGATTTAATGTTTACTAAACAAAAAACTTTCAAAGACTTCAATCTATAGTTTATGTATAGAGAAGTAATATCTATATTAAGTAGCTGCTGAAAGATGGGGCTTTTAATTTCTGAAAGTTTTTTTTTGTGTGTCATAGTGTCTGTCAACTCTATACATCCAGGTATTCTAGGATGGTTCCATGACAAATGATCTTAGGACAAATGATCTCAGACAAATGATCTCAGACAAAATATCTCAGACAAAATATCTCAGACAAAATATCTCACGGATAAATGATATCAGGACAAATGATCTCAGGACAAAAGATACCAGGACAAAATATCTCAGACAAAATATCTCACAGCACAATTTTAATAGTGTATTGGATGATTTTAGTTGATTAGAACAATTTTTATTGACTGTCATAACATGGTTTTGTTTATTGATCATTTGTCCTGTCACCTCTAGGATTTATTTGGTAGGGGAGGCGGGGGAGGGGGGGGGGGAGGGGTGTGTGGAAGATGAGGCACTGATGGGGGGATTATTGGGAGGTCACAAATGCAGGGATGTTGTTGGCCACTAATTGGGGTCACTGATGGGGGCAAGGGGGGGGGGGGCAATGTTTACATTGTGCAAGCTGACAGTACCTAAGTTCATCACTGTTGGCCACTAAATGTGCAAGATGACAGTACCTAAGTTCATCACTGTTGGCCACTAAATGTGCAAGATGACAGTACCTAAGTTCATAACTGTTGGCCACTAAATGTGCAATATGACAGTACCTAAGTTCATCACTGTTGGCCACTAAATGTGCAAGATGACAGTACCTAAGTTCATCATTGTTGGCCATTAAATGTTCAAGATGACAGTACCTAAGTTCATCATTGTTGGCCATTAAATGTGCAAGATGACAGTACCTAAGTTCATCACTGTTGGCCACTAAATGTGCAAGATGACAGTACCTAAGTTCATCATTGTTGGCCACTAAATGTGCAAGATGACAGTACCTAAGTTCATCATTGTTGGCCACTAAATGTGCAAGATGACAGTACCTAAGTTCATCATTGTTGGCCACTAAATGTGCAAGATGACAGTACCTAAGTTCATCATTGTTGGCCACTAAATGTGCAAGATGACAGTACCTAAGTTCATCACTGTTGGCCACTAAATGTGCAAGATGACAGTACCTAAGTTCATCATTGTTGGACAGCTGGTTGGCCTGGCTGACGTCTGCTTGTTCTGAAATGATTTTGTCCAGGTCATACACCACACGGTCAAGCAGCTGGTCCGCGTGGATCATGCGATCAATGTCTTCAAAGATCTTGGACCTGTTGGTTAATTCAGCTTGACATAGACTAGACTAGACACAACAACCTGACAAAGACTAGACACAACAACCTGACATAGACTAGACATAACAACCTGACATAGACTAGACATAACAACCTGACATAGACTAGACACAACAACCTGACATAGACTAGACACAACAACCTGACATAGACTAGCCATAACAACCTGACATAGACTAGACTAGACACAACAAACTGACATAGACTGGACTAGACATAACAACCTGACATAGACTAGACACAACAACCTGACATAGACTAGACTAGACAAAACAACCTGACATAGACTAGACTAGACACTACAACCTGACATAGACTAGACTAGACACAACAACCTGACATAGACTAGACACAACAACCTGACATAGATTAGACACAACAACCTGACATAGATTAGACACAACAACCTGACATAGACTAGACACAATAACCTGATATAGACTAGACACAACAACCTGACATAGACTAGACACAACAACCTGACATAGATTAGACACAACAACCTGACATAGATTAGACACAACAACCTGACATAGACTAGACACAATAACCTGATATAGATGACATAATTAGGTTAAAAAGTCCAATGCTAACCTTTGAACTCCAAATCTACGACTAGCTAATGGCTCCATCAACTTGTAGTGACCTTTAACCCCATATAAATCTGGGAATGCCAGCTTCTGAAACTTGAGGACACTGTGCGTGTCAGCAGCTATCTGGCTGTAGAGATCTGCATCGTGGCTCAACAGTTCTTCTGCCATCTCATCCTCCAGACTCTGTCAAGTTATTTGGTGTAGGCTTAGGGGCTTGTGTCAAGTTATTAGGTGTAGGCTTAGGGGTTTCTGTCAAGTTATTAGGTGTAGGCTTAGGGGCTTGTGTCAAGTTATTAGGTGTAGGCTTAGGGGCTTGTGTCAAGTTATTAGGTGTAGGCTTAGGGGTTTCTGTCAAGTTATTTGGTGTAGGCTTAGGGGCTTGTGTCAAGTAATTAGGTGTAGGCTTAGGGGTTTCTGTCAAGTTATTAGGTGTAGGCTTAGGGGCTTGTGTCAAGTTATTAGGTGTAGGCTTAAGGGCTTGTGTCAAGTTATTAGGTGTAGGCTTAGGGGTTTGTGTCAAGTTATTAGGTGTAGGCTTAGGGGTTTGTGTAAAGTTATTAGGTGTAGGCTTAGGGGCTTGTGTCAAGTTATTAGGTGTAGGCTTAGGGGTTTCTGTCAAGTTATTAGGTGTAGGCTTAGGGGTTTCTGTCAAGTTATTAGGTGTAGGCTTAGGGGTTTCTGTCAAGTTATTAGGTGTAGGCTTAGGGGTTTGTGTCAAGTTATTAGGTGTAGGCTTAGGGGCTTGTGTCAAGTTATTAGGTGTAGGCTTAGGGGCTTGTGTCAAGTTATTAGGTGTAGGCTTAGGGGTTTCTGTCAAGTTATTAGGTGTAGGCTTAGGGGTTTCTGTCAAGTTATTAGGTGTAGGCTTAGGGGCTTGTGTCAAGTTATTAGGTGTAGGCTTAGGGGCTTGTGTCAAGTTATTAGGTGTAGGCTTAGGGGTTTGTGTCAAGTTATTAGGTGTAGGCTTAGGGGTTTGTGTAAAGTTATTAGGTGTAGGCTTAGGGGCTTGTGTCAAGTTATTAGGTGTAGGCTTAGGGGCTTGTGTCAAGTTATTAGGTGTAGGCTTAGGGGCTTGTGTCAAGTTATTTGGTGTAGGCTTAGGGGCTTGTGTCAAGTTATTAGGTGTAGGCTTAGGGGCTTGTGTCAAGTTATTAGGTGTAGGCTTAGGGGCTTGTGTCAAGTTATTAGGTGTAGGCTTAGGGGCTTGTGTCAAGTTATTAGGTGTAGGCTTAGGGGTTTGTGTCAAGTTATTAGGTGTAGGCTTAGGGGCTTGTGTCAAGTTATTTGGTGTAAGCTTAGGGTCTATTGTCAAGTTATTTAGGCTTAGGGGCTTCTGTCAAGTTATAAAATGATAATGACCTACCAGATGAGGTACATCTTGGGATAATGACCTACCAGATGAGGTACACCTTGGGATAATGACCTACCAGATGAGGTACACATTGGGATAATGACCTACCAGATGAGGTACACCTTGGGATAATGACCTACCAGATGAGTTAGACCTTGGGATAATGACCTACCAGATGAGGTACACCTTGGGATAATGACCTACCAGATGAGTTAGACCTTGGGATAATGACCTACCAGATGAGTTAGACCTTGGGATAATGACCTACCAGATGAGGTCCATCTTGGGATAATGACCTACCAGATGAGGTACACCTTGGGATAATGACCTACCGGTGCAGGTATATCTTGGGATGAAGATCTGAGAAGAGATGAACCGTCAGTCACATCAACTAACCCAAGGGTTGCTTTGATATTGTGGCGTGAACATTTTTTTTTCCCTTTAGACTGTTGCCTGCTTGGGGAGAGTCCGGTATCCAGTGAAATGACACAAGCTCCTGTTTTTACATTGATAGCACTGACACTACCTGATGGAAGGAATTTATTTTTACATTGATAGCACTGACACTACCTGATGGAAGGAATTTATTTTTACATTGATAGCACTGACACTACCTGATGGAAGGAATTTATTTTTACATTGATAGCACTGACACTACCTGATGGAAGGAATTTATTTTTACATTGATAGCACTGACACTACCTGATGGAAGGAATTTATTTTTACATTGATAGCACTGACACTACCTGATGGAAGGAATTTATTTTTACATTGATAGCACTGACACTACCTGATGGAAGGAATTTATTTTTACATTGATAGCACTGACACTACCTGATGGAAGGAATTTATTTTTACATTGATAGCACTGACACTACCTGATGGAAGGAATTTATTTTTACATTGATAGCACTGACACTACCTGATGGAAGGAATTTATTTTTACATTGATAGCACTGACACTACCTGATGGAAGGAATTTATTTTTACATTGATAGCACTGACACTACCTGATGGAAGGAATTTATTTTTACATTGATAGCACTGACACTACCTGATGGAAGGAATTTATTTTTACATTGATGGTTATAGAGTCATAAAAAATAGTGAGAAATAATATATTTAGTACATTGGTGAAGTGGGTGAATTTAAGTTCATTTTTAACAAGATATTTTTAACAAGATATTTTTAACAAGATATTTTTAACAAGATATTTTTAACAAGATATTTTTAACAAGATATTTTGACACAGAAATATTTCTAGATAATTTAAAAGCAAGTTATTTTAAGATCAAAGCTATCAACAGATAATGTGATTTTCTTTTTCAAAATGTCTTCAGAGCATTTTTAAACAAATCCATATGTTTCTGTACTACTTCATATATTCCTGTACAACTCCATGTACAACTCCATATGTTCATGTGCTAGATTTCTATCAATTGCCAAGTTTCTTATGTATATGTTTATGTGCTAGATTTCTATCAATTGCCAAGTTTCTTATGTATATGTTTATGTGCTAGATTTCTATCAATTGCCAAGTTTCTTATGTATATGTTTATGTGCTAGATTTCTATCAATTGCCAAGTTTCTTATGTATATGTTCATGTGCTAGATTTCTATCAATTGCTAAGTTTCTTATGTATATGTTCATGTGCTAGATTTCTATCAATTGCCAAGTTTCTTATGTATATGTTTATGTGCTAGATTTCTATCAATTGCCAAGTTTCTTATGTATATGTTCATGTGCTAGATTTCTATCAATTGCCAAGTTTCTTATGTATATGTTTATGTGCTAGATTTCTATCAATTGCCAAGTTTCTTATGTATATGTTTATGTGCTAGATTTCTATCAATTGCCAAGTTTCTTATGTATATGTTCATGTGCTAGATTTCTATCAATTGCCAAGTTTCTTATGTATATGTTTATGTGCTAGATTTCTATCAATTGCCAAGTTTCTTATGTATATGTTTATGTGCTAGATTTCTATCAATTGCCAAGTTTCTTATGTATATGTTTATGTGCTAGATTTCTATCAATTGCCAAGTTTCTTATGTATATGTTTATGTGCTAGATTTCTATCAATTGCCAAGTTTCTTATGTATATGTTCATGTTCTAGATTTCTATCAATTGCCAAGTTTCTTATGTATATGTTTATGTGCTAGATTTCTATCAATTGCCAAGTTTCTTATGTATATGTTTATGTGCTAGATTTCTATCAATTGCCAAGTTTCTTATGTATATGTTCATGTGCTAGATTTCTATCAATTGCCAAGTTTCTTATGTATATGTTTATGTGCTAGATTTCTATCAATTGCCAAGTTTCTTATGTATATGTTTATGTGCTAGATTTCTATCAATTGCCAAGTTTCTTATGTATATGTTTATGTGCTAGATTTCTATCAATTGCCAAGTTTCTTATGTATATGTTTATGTGCTAGATTTCTATCAATTGCCAAGTTTCTTATGTATATGTTTATGTGCTAGATTTCTATCAATTGCCAAGTTTCTTATGTATATGTTTATGTGCTAGATTTCTATCAATTGCCAAGTTTCTTATGTATATGTTTATGTGCTAGATTTCTATCAATTGCCAAGTTTCTTATGTATATGTTTATGTGCTAGATTTCTATCAATTGCCAAGTTTCTTATGTATATGTTTATGTGCTAGATTTCTATCAATTGCCAAGTTTCTTATGTATATGTTTATGTGCTAGATTTCTATCAATTGCCAAGTTTCTTATGTATATGTTCATGTGCTAGATTTCTATCAATTGCCAAGTTTCTTATGTATATGTTTATGTGCTGTGAGCAATTTGTCCAAGCTTTAGGGGAGCAACATGACTTACCTCTGTCAAATGAAAGATGTTGTTGTAAATATCTAGAGAGACCTTTTTGCTTGACATAGAGACTGGCATCAGAGCAAACATGTTTCATGGGGGTCAAGCCAGGGCTGGGGTGGCCCACAAGACCAGACTGAGATCTCTGTAGGACAGGCAGGGCCAGGGGCACCACTTTGGGAGGGGGAGGCTACACAGACAAACATTCATTGCTGGAGATGGTGCTTGTGGTGGTAATGATGGTGGTGGCTGTGGTGGTGGTGGTTGTGGTAATGATGATAACAATGGTGGTGGTTGTGGTTGTAGTGCTTGTGGTGGTGGTGGTTGTGGTAGTGGTTGTAGTGCTTGTGGTGGTGGTTGTGGTGGTGGTTGTGGTGGTGGTTGTGGTGCTTGTGGTGGTGATTGTGGTGGTGGTTGTGGTAGTGGCTGTAGTGCTTGAGGTGGTGGTTGTGGTGGTGGTTGTGGTAGTGGTTGTAGTGGTTGTGGTGGTGGTTGTGGTGGTAATGATGGTGGTGGTTGTGGTGGTAATGGTGGTGGTTGTGGTGGTGGTAATGATGATAACGATGGTGGTGGTTGTGGTAGTGGCTGTAGTGCTTGTGGTGGTGGTTGTGGTGGTGGTTGTGGTAGTGGCTGTAGTGCTTGTGGTGGTGGTTGTGGTGGTGGTTGTGGTAGTGGTTGTAGTGGTTGTGGTGGTGGTTGTGGTGGTAATGATGGTGGTGATTGTGGTGGTAATGGTGGTGGTTGTGATGGTAGTGGTGGTGGTGATGGTGGTTGTGGTGGTAATGATGGTGGTGGTGGTGGTGGTAGTGATGGTGGTGGTTGTGGTGGTAGTGGTGATAATGGTGGTGGTGGTTGTGGTGGTGGTGGTTGTGGTGGTAGTGGTGATAATGGTGGTGGTGGTTGTGGTGGTGGTGGTTGTGGTGGTAATGATGGTGGTGGTTGTGGTGGTAATGATGGTGGTGGTGGTGTTGATGGAGGTTGTGATGATTGTGGGTTGGTTGTGATGATTGTGTTAATAATTGTTAGGCAATTAAGCCTGTGGTAAAGGTCAATCCAAACTGGAAATAATTTCCTTAAGAGAGATCTAAATCTTTACATCTCAATACAGAGATACAGATTAGTAGGACAGAAGAAATAACATTGGACTAGTTGATCTGTAAGAACCTAACTCAAGACAAGTAGAACAGAAGAAATAACATTGGACTAGTTGATCTGTAAGAACCTAACTCAGACTGATGAGTTATTCTAACCTAAATAAACATCTAGTATCCCTAAGTACTGGGAGCCGGACTTTTCCCGAAAGGACACTTGCCCGAATGGGACAAATGCATGAAAGCCACTTGCCCGAAGGCTGTTTACCCGAAAAATGTTAATATTAGATAATAAATAAAATTAACAAATAGACATTCTTAATCAATTGAAGTTTGAAATTTTGATCATAAACAAAATTCTAAGCAAAAACAAAGTTGTTTATATTTTTAAAATTTAGCTTTTGTTTTTTTTAAACTGAGAAATTGCTGTAAAAAATCGTTACTCTTTATTAAATGTAAGGTGATGTTCGCGCGGTGACTTTATATTCTTTTGATGAATGTTTTAAACACCTAGTTTAGCCGACATGTTGCGGTGGTTAGATAGCGTCTATGACACGTGTAGGCAGCGCTGCGTCTCGCAACATTGAACAGGGGCGCGGTTGTTTGATTTATTTTGTTATGCTTTTAGCTTGTGTGGTGACTATTTCACAATAGAACTAGGCGCGGTCTAGGCGGCAAATTTAAAAGCTAAAGGTAGTCAATTATCTTAGATCTCCATTTTATACACCTTCTTTAGACAATGTGTTGAAGCGATTACTTAATAAAGAAAGCAAAATTCATTTTAAAATCCTGAGATATATGAAAATGGTATTTTTGTCTTATTTCATAGATAGAAGAGAAAGTATGTTTCTACACTTTATATAGCAAATACAAATTAATTAAGAATTTCTGAGGGGTAATATATATATATATTCTTTCTTTTTGCGTAAATATGTTTTGTTTATCAACATTTCAAATTTAAATTGATTACGAATGATTATTTGGTAAAATATAATGTTAACATTTTTCGGGCAAACGGCCTTCGGACAAGTGTCCATTTGGGCATTTGTCGCATTCGGGCAAGTGTCCATTTGGGAAATCGGCCTTCGGGCAAACGGCATTTGGGCAAGTGTCTTTCGGGGATTTGTCGTAGACCCCTAAGTACTTAATATAAATCCTAATTTTTTTTGGTGTAACTAACTCAAATCAATTAAATTACCTCCAAATGTAGAAGTTCAGGGAAAAACTGATCATACATGCGTAAGTCTTCAAACGTTCTTGTTTCTCTTGGATCTGGTACTTCATCATCTGTCTGGGGAAAAAAATTGTTGGTAGGGTCATCTGTTGGTCATTGTATGTGGGGTCATCTGTTGGTCATTGTATGTGGGGTCATCTGTTGGTCATTGTATGTGGGGTCATCTGTTGGTCATTGTATGTGGGGTCATCTGTTGGTCATTGTATGTGGGGTCATCTGTTGGTCATTGTATGTGGGGTCATCTGTTGGTCATTGTATGTGTGGTCATCTGTTGGTCATTGTATGTGGGGTCATCTGTTGGTCATTGTATGTGGGGTCATCTGTTGGTCATTGTATGTGGGGTCATCTGTTGGTCATTGTATGTGGGGTCATCTGTTGGTCATTGTATGTGGGGTCATCTGTTGGTCATTGTATGTTGTATGTGGGGTCATCTGTTGGTCATTGTATGTGGGGTCATCTGTTGGTCATTGTATGTGGGGTCATCTGTTGGTCATGGTATGTGGGGTCATCTGTTGGTCATTGTATGTGGGGTCATCTGTTGGTCATTGTATGTGGGGTCATCTGTTGGTCATTGTATGTGGGGTCATCTGTTGGTCATTGTATGTGGGGTCATCTGTTGGTCATTGTATGTGGGGTCATCTGTTGGTCATTGTATGTGGGGTCATCTGTTGGTCATTGTATGTGGGGTCATCTGTTGGTCATTGTATGTTGTATGTGGGGTCATCTGTTGGTCATTGTATGTGGGGTCATCTGTTGGTCATTGTATGTGGGGTCATCTGTTGGTCATTGTATGTTGTATGTGGGGTCATCTGTTGGTCATTGTATGTGTGGTCATCTGTTGGTCATTGTATGTGGGGTCATCTGTTGGTCATTGTATGTGGGGTCATCTGTTGGTCATTGTATGTTGTATGTGGGGTCATCTGTTGGTCATTGTATGTGGGGTCATCTGTTGGTCATTGTATGTTGTATGTGGGGTCATCTGTTGGTCATTGTATGTGGGGTCATCTGTTGGTCATTGTATGTGGGGTCATCTGTTGGTCATTGTATGTTGTATGTGGGGTCATCTGTTGGTCATTGTACGTGGGGTCATCTGTTGGTCATTGTATGTGGGGTCATCTGTTGGTCATTGTATGTGGGGTCATCTGTTGGTCATTGTATGTGGGGTCATCTGTTGGTCATTGTATGTGTGGTCATCTGTTGGTCATTGTATGTTGTATGTGGGGTCATCTGTTGGTCATTGTATGTGTGGTCATCTGTTGGTCATTGTATGTGGGGTCATCTGTTGGTCATTGTATGTGGGGTCATCTGTTGGTCATTGTATGTGGGGTCATGATGTTGGTCATTGTATGTGGGGTCATCTGTTGGTCATTGTATGTGGGGTCATCTGTTGGTCATTGTATGTGGGGTCATCTGTTGGTCATTGTATGTGGGGTCATCTGTTGGTCATTGTATGTGGGGTCATCTGTTGGTCATTGTATGTGGGGTCATGATGTTGGTCATTGTATGTGGGGTCATCTGTTGGTCATTGTATGTGTGGTCATCTGTTGGTCATTGTATGTGGGGTCATCTGTTGGTCATTGTATGTGGGGTCATCTGTTGGTCATTGTATGTGGGGTCATCTGTTGGTCATTGTATGTGGGGTCATCTGTTGGTCATTGTATGTGGGGTCATCTGTTGGTCATTGTATGTGGGGTCATCTGTTGGTCATTGTATGTGGGGTCATCTGTTGGTCATTGTATGTGGGGTCATCTGTTGGTCATTGTATGTGGGGTCATCTGTTGGTCATTGTATGTGGGGTCATCTGTTGGTCATTGTATGTGGGGTCATCTGTTGGTCATTGTATGTGGGGTCATCTGTTGGTCATTGTATGTTGTATGTGGGGTCATCTGTTGGTCATTGTATGTGGGGTCATCTGTTGGTCATTGTATGTGGGGTCATGATGTTGGTCATTGTATGTGGGGTCATCTGTTGGTCATTGTATGTGTGGTCATCTGTTGGTCATTGTATGTGGGGTCATCTGTTGGTCATTGTATGTGGGGTCATCTGTTGATCATTGTATGTGGGGTCATCTGTTGGTCATTGTATGTGGGGTCATCTGTTGGTCATTGTATGTGGGGTCATCTGTTGGTCATTGTATGTGGGGTCATCTGTTGGTCATTGTATGTGGGGTCATCTGTTGGTCATTGTATGTGGGGTCATCTGTTGGTCATTGTATGTGGGGTCATCTGTTGGTCATTGTATGTGGGGTCATCTGTTGGTCATTGTATGTGGGGTCATCTGTTGGTCATTGTATGTGGGGTCATCTGTTGGTCATTGTATGTGGGGTCATCTGTTGGTCATTGTATGTGGGGTCATCTGTTGGTCATTGTATGTGGGGTCATCTGTTGGTCATTGTATGTGGGGTCATCTGTTGGTCATTGTATGTGGGGTCATCTGTTGGTCATTGTATGTTGTATGTGTGGTCATCTGTTGGTCATTGTATGTGTGGTCATCTGTTGGTCATTGTATGTTGTATGTGGGGTCATCTGTTGGTCATTGTATGTGGGGTCATCTGTTGGTCATTGTATGTGGGGTCATCTGTTGGTCATTGTATGTGGGGTCATCTGTTGGTCATTGTATGTGGGGTCATCTGTTGGTCATTGTATGTTGTATGTGGGGTCATCTGTTGGTCATTGTATGTGTGGTCATCTGTTGGTCATTGTATGTGGGGTCATCTGTTGGTCATTGTATGTGGGGTCATCTGTTGGTCATTGTATGTGGGGTCATCTGTTGGTCATTGTATGTTGTATGTGGGGTCATCTGTTGGTCATTGTATGTGGGGTCATCTGTTGGTCATTGTATGTGTGGTCATCTGTTGGTCATTGTATGTGGGGTCATCTGTTGGTCATTGTATGTGGGGTCATCTGTTGGTCATTGTATGTGGGGTCATCTGTTGGTCATTGTATGTGGGGTCATCTGTTGGTCATTGTATGTGGGGTCATCTGTTGGTCATTGTATGTTGTATGTGGGGTCATCTGTTGGTCATTGTACGTGGGGTCATCTGTTGGTCATTGTATGTGGGGTCATCTGTTGGTCATTGTATGTGGGGTCATCTGTTGGTCATTGTATGTGGGGTCATCTGTTGGTCATTGTATGTGTGGTCATCTGTTGGTCATTGTATGTTGTATGTGGGGTCATCTGTTGGTCATTGTATGTGTGGTCATCTGTTGGTCATTGTATGTGGGGTCATCTGTTGGTCATTGTATGTGGGGTCATCTGTTGGTCATTGTATGTGGGGTCATCTGTTGGTCATTGTATGTGGGGTCATCTGTTGGTCATTGTATGTGGGGTCATCTGTTGGTCATTGTATGTGGGGTCATCTGTTGGTCATTGTATGTGTGGTCATCTGTTGGTCATTGTATGTGGGGTCATCTGTTGGTCATTGTATGTGGGGTCATCTGTTGGTCATTGTATGTGGGGTCATCTGTTGGTCATTGTATGTGGGGTCATCTGTTGGTCATTGTATGTGGGGTCATCTGTTGGTCATTGTATGTGGGGTCATCTGTTGGTCATTGTATGTTGTATGTGGGGTCATCTGTTGGTCATTGTATGTGGGGTCATCTGTTGGTCATTGTATGTGGGGTCATGATGTTGGTCATTGTATGTGGGGTCATCTGTTGGTCATTGTATGTGTGGTCATCTGTTGGTCATTGTATGTGGGGTCATCTGTTGGTCATTGTATGTGGGGTCATCTGTTGGTCATTGTACGTGGGGTCATCTGTTGGTCATTGTATGTGGGGTCATCTGTTGGTCATTGTATGTGGGGTCATCTGTTGGTCATTGTATGTGGGGTCATCTGTTGGTCATTGTATGTTGTATGTGGGGTCATCTGTTGGTCATTGTATGTGTGGTCATCTGTTGGTCATTGTATGTGGGGTCATCTGTTGGTCATTGTATGTGGGGTCATCTGTTGGTCATTGTATGTGGGGTCATCTGTTGGTCATTGTATGTGGGGTCATCTGTTGGTCATTGTATGTGGGGTCATCTGTTGGTCATTGTATGTGGGGTCATCTGTTGGTCATTGTATGTTGTATGTGGGGTCATCTGTTGGTCATTGTATGTGGGGTCATCTGTTGGTCATTGTATGTGGGGTCATGATGTTGGTCATTGTATGTGGGGTCATCTGTTGGTCATTGTATGTGGGGTCATCTGTTGGTCATTGTATGTGTGGTCATCTGTTGGTCATTGTATGTGGGGTCATCTGTTGGTCATTGTATGTGGGGTCATCTGTTGGTCATTGTATGTGGGGTCATCTGTTGGTCATTGTATGTGGGGTCATCTGTTGGTCATTGTATGTGGGGTCATCTGTTGGTCATTGTATGTTGTATGTGGGGTCATCTGTTGGTCATTGTATGTGGGGTCATCTGTTGGTCATTGTATGTGGGGTCATCTGTTGGTCATTGTATGTGGGGTCATCTGTTGGTCATTGTATGTTGTATGTGGGGTCATCTGTTGGTCATTGTATGTGGGGTCATCTGTTGGTCATTGTATGTGGGGTCATCTGTTGGTCATTGTATGTGGGGTCATCTGTTGGTCATTGTATGTGGGGTCATCTGTTGGTCATTGTATGTGGGGTCATCTGTTGGTCATTGTATGTTGTATGTGGGGTCATCTGTTGGTCATTGTATGTGTGGTCATCTGTTGGTCATTGTACGTGGGGTCATCTGTTGGTCATTGTATGTGGGGTCATCTGTTGGTCATTGTATGTGGGGTCATCTGTTGGTCATTGTATGTGGGGTCATCTGTTGGTCATTGTATGTGGGGTCATCTGTTGGTCATTGTATGTGGGGTCATCTGTTGGTCATTGTATGTGGGGTCATCTGTTGGTCATTGTATGTGGGGTCATCTGTTGGTCATTTTATGTTGTATGTGGGGTCATCTGTTGGTCATTGTATGTGTGGTCATCTGTTGGTCATTGTATGTGTGGTCATCTGTTGGTCATTGTATGTGGGGTCATCTGTTGGTCATTGTATGTGGGGTCATCTGTTGGTCATTGTATGTGGGGTCATGATGTTGGTCATTGTATGTGGGGTCATCTGTTGGTCATTGTATGTGGGGTCATCTGTTGGTCATTGTATGTGTGGTCATCTGTTGGTCATTGTACGTGTGGTCATCTGTTGGTCATTGTACGTGGGGTCATCTGTTGGTCATTGTATGTGGGGTCATCTGTTGGTCATTGTATGTGGGGTCATCTGTTGGTCATTGTATGTGGGGTCATCTGTTGGTCATTGTATGTGGGGTCATCTGTTGGTCATTGTATGTGGGGTCATCTGTTGGTCATTGTATGTGTGGTCATCTGTTGGTCATTGTATGTGTGGTCATCTGTTGGTCATTGTATGTGGGGTCATCTGTTGGTCATTGTATGTGGGGTCATGATGTTGGTCATTGTATGTGGGGTCATCTGTTGGTCATTGTATGTGGGGTCATCTGTTGGTCATTGTATGTGGGGTCATCTGTTGGTCATTGTATGTGGGGTCATCTGTTGGTCATTGTATGTGGGGTCATCTGTTGGTCATTGTATGTTGTATGTGGGGTCATCTGTTGGTCATTGTATGTGGGGTCATCTGTTGGTCATTGTATGTGGGGTCATCTGTTGGTCATTGTATGTTGTATGTGGGGTCATCTGTTGGTCATTGTATGTGGGGTCATCTGTTGGTCATTGTATGTGGGGTCATCTGTTGGTCATTGTATGTGGGGTCATCTGTTGGTCATTGTATGTGGGGTCATCTGTTGGTCATTGTATGTGGGGTCATCTGTTGGTCATTGTATGTGGGGTCATCTGTTGGTCATTGTATGTGGGGTCATCTGTTGGTCATTGTATGTGGGGTCATCTGTTGGTCATTGTATGTGGGGTCATCTGTTGGTCATTGTATGTGGGGTCATCTGTTGGTCATTGTATGTGGGGTCATCTGTTGGTCATTGTATGTGTGGTCATCTGTTGGTCATTGTATGTGGGGTCATCTGTTGGTCATTGTATGTGGGGTCATCTGTTGGTCATTTTATGTTGTATGTGGGGTCATCTGTTGGTCATTGTATGTGTGGTCATCTGTTGGTCATTGTATGTGTGGTCATCTGTTGGTCATTGTATGTGGGGTCATCTGTTGGTCATTGTACGTGGGGTCATGATGTTGTATAAAATAAATCAATACAAAATGAAGTAGTACCTCTTCAGGGTCTGTTCTAAATCTTTCATCATCACTGTCTATGTCATCATCATCTTCTTCACCTGAGCTCTCTCCAATTTCACCATAGGATTTATTTTGGGATGGGTTGGAAGATGCTAAACGGATTAAATACATTTTATTTTGGGATGGGTTGGAAGTTGTTAAAGAAAATACACATTTTATTTTGGGATGGGTTGGAAGTTGTTAAAGAAAATACACATTTTATTTTGGGATGGGTTGGAAGTTGTTAAAGAAAATACACATATTTTATTTTGGGATGGGTTGGATGTTGTTAAAGAAAATACACATATTTTATTTTGGGATGGGTTGGATGTTGTTAAAGAAAATACACATATTTTATTTTGAGTGGAAATCACCTAGCACACCTCTTACCTGATTCCCATTGTGAAATTATTCCATTGATATAACTGTGTATAAAATTATACAACATTCCATTGATATAACTGTGTATAAAATTATACAACATTCCATTGATATAACTGTGTATAAAATTATACAACATTCCATTGATATAACTGTGTATAAAATTATACAACATTCCATTGATATAACTGTGTATAAAATTATACAACATTCCATTGTTATAACTGTGTATAAAAGAGCAACTAGAGAAACTATTTCACCTGGTACAGAGTTCACAGAAACAGATGAACTCTACTTCATCTGCCCCATGAACTAACAGATGGCAACTTTACATATATGCTTAGAAACATTGAGAGATAATAAAAAATTGGATTTTGAAGGATGGAAAATTTCTCTCTAATGAATGACAGAAAAAATTTTAGTCACTCTCTACAGATGTATATCTATGATATCTTAAAAACTCACCAGAACTAGTTTTTTTTATAGATTGAATTGAAAGTTGGGTGAAGTGAAGCAATTTGTTTGTTTCTTTTAGGGGAACCTAAATCTGACCAAAAACAGCAAAATACATTTTTTTGCACCTAAATATACTGGTGGTTTTGGGAAAAGATAAACCGGGAGTGATCTTCCCTAAACTTTCCTCGAATATTCTTATATAACACTACGGGGGATGGCAACTCGGGATAAAGACATGATTTTTTAAATCCATTTTTAATTACTTAAACTTTTTAGAATAGAATAGAATAGAAGTTGGAAATAGCGTAAATTACTACTTCCCGTCCGGAAATTACTCAAAATTTAACAGAAGGCTGAGAATTAGATCTTTTACTTATATGTGAAATTTCATTTATCTATCTGAAATAGTACTAAAGCTATAGGCTTTTGAAAAATTGAAAGTAGAATAAGTACCACTTCCAGTTACCAGAAATCACTGAAAAGTTGATACAGAACTAAAAACTTTATATAATACTTATATATGAAATTTCATTAACCTAGTTGATTATCGTGTTTACAGACATACACACACACAGACATAGGGACAAAATTGCAAAACTATGTTTTTCACACTCAAGGAGGAGTAAAACATTGAAATTTGTAAAAATGGCAATTTTTTTTTGTTGCACCATTACAATACTACCTCTATACTTGGTATACAAGAAAGTAAAAAAAAGCAGATCTACCTCAGCTGTAGTAACTAACACGCACTGGGCCATTGAAAAAAAAACCCCAGGATCTGTAGTGTGACATAAACCTTCAAACCACTTCCTTGACTTGTTGTCCCTCTTTCAATTGTCTAATTGTGGTGCCCAAACAGTTCACTTTAAAAAGTTTTGTACTAAGCCAATTCAAAAGCCATTTCTTCACTTCATTATTATAAGACATAATGAAGACACAGCTATAAAAAGGAATGTATTTAAAATTAATAACTTAAATGCTAAACAAAACATCAGAAACAAGGGAAATCTTTCCACACACCAAACCTCCTTGTAAAGATACTTTTGGCCATCTCACCAAATATGAAGCTACTGGTTACACAATTTTTGGATGGTAAAAATGAGATAAAGACGTTTTTAAAACACGATGAGTAAGTGCATATTTTTGTGAGAGTTGTTGTTGCATAATGGATACACTTTGCAAAGAAATAGGTTAAATTACTAAATGGTTTTAATGGTTCAAAATAATTCATTTTAAAATTTAGTGAGACAGTTTACCAATATATATATATATATATATATATATACATATATATACATATATATATAAATATATATACATAAATATATATATATATGTATATATGTAGGCCTGTATATATAAGCGGCTAGGTAGTGTGTCATTCGGTCAATATTATAGATACTAGAAACTTTTGAGTTTGTACTTGTGTATGTATTTGCATTTTCTTTTGTGTTTGCATTTGTTTTTGCGTTTTGGTTTGAGTTTGCATTTTCTATTGTGTTTTCTATTCGGATTTGCCTGTTTGCATTTGGGTTTGTGTTTCCGTTTGTGTTTTTTTTGCACTTTTGTTTGAGTTTGTTACATTTGATTTGTGTTTGTTTTTTTTGTTTGCATTCTCTTTTGTGTTTGTATTTGTGTTTGTGTATTGCGTTGTGTTTGTATTGTGTTTGACTGAGTGTTTGTTCTGTTCCTAAAGTTGGTACATTTAAAAAAGATTCACCGTATGCAGCTAGTATATGTATATGTATGTATACATTAATATATATTTGTATGTTTATATTATTTTGTGTATGTATGAATATAATTGTTATATATGTATGTATATATTATTATATATGTATGTATATATATGTATATATATACATATATGTATGTATATATATATATATATATATATATATATATATATGTATAAATATACATATATGTATGTATATATATATATATGTATAAATATAAATATATGTATAAATATACATATATGTATGTATGTATATATATATATATATATATATATATATATATATATATATATATATATATATATATATATATATATATATATATATATATATATATATACATATATGTATGTATATATATATATATCTATATGACCGGTCAAAGTCCAAAAAATTTTACTTGATTTTGGCCAAAGTCTGAAATGGCTCTTGATTATGGCCTTTGCCAGCAAGTCAGCGGACTGGCTATGGTGGACCGGCCAAGTCCAAATCAGAAGATGATGAGCAGATTTTGGGTATTTTTTTTATACCGTAAGGATCATGAAATTAAGGCTTTATTGATAATTAATTAAAGTAAATGACAGAAACATTCAAATTATTTTCCTGTACTATAGACTCAATCAATAGTATCACAACAAGCTGAACTTTTATGGCATTTAGAATTACATAGTAGCTTCTTATTTTTACGCTTGCAGCGATTTGTTGTACATTTGGTTGTGCAATTGCAGTAAATGTAAGTGATTGTAAGATGCGATTGTTCGAAGTGATTTTTTCTCAGTACCAACGGACAACATTGAGAGCAGTTTTTCGTGAAGAATTGAAAACTCACTTCTAGCATACAGTTGTTTTAGAACACCATGTTTCGTTCCTAGCTTGTAGAAAGCGCCATCGACGCTCATGACAATTGCAATGACGCTTTGGGGATCACCGCACTCTGTCAACATCTGGTATACGGATGCGTACATTGTCACCCACTTCAGCTTGTTTAAAATTTGTATCTGATTTTGTTAGCATCTTAGCACATGGAGTTTGCAAGCTAGTATGAGCTGTTAAACTGTTGTCTATGATTTCTTGTTTATTGTGACATAAAATCTGCAAGTAATGTTCCCTCCTTACCCTTCATCTGCTTCATTGGCTATTCTGCATATTGCATGGATATCGTTGCCATAGGATCCACAAGAATGGGCTGCACTACAATATTTTTCACAAACGACACATAATCCGTTGGCCATGTTATTGTCACGCAACTGATCTGGACGTTTCGCCACGGCAGCAGATGTGTTAGCTGAGTATGTCTTTGCATTTTTGGCAAACTCCATTCCTTGTTCAAGATCTTCCTCAGTAACTAAATTATCGAGAGCCTCTCTTGGTAGATTTGAAGTGTTAAGTCCCACTTTTGCTTTGCATCCAAACAAGGCTTCGTATGGCGATTGTTGGATTCCTTGATCAAAAGAAAGGTTTTTCATAAATTGAATGAATTTGAGACTCTCAGCCCAATGAGCTGATTCATTTGTTTGCATCCATGTCATCTCCATACTTTCAACATCTTGGTTGGCACGTTCTTCTGAACCTTGACTTTGGCTATGCCTTGGTTTTCTGTAAACTAGTTTAATTTCAGGCCACATTTCCTTTAGTTCAGAAATATTTTGGCAGCCATCTGGTATGTCTGTCTCTTGGTCTGACGGCCCTTTTGGTCCATGTCGCATTGCTCTTCGGGCTTTGGCCAAGAGAGCCGGCCAATGAGCACATTGGCTGGCCAATGTGTGCTTTGGCTGCACTTCAGGCTTTGACCGTTACATACACACACACACACACACATATATATATATATATATATATATATATATATATATATATATATATATATATATATATATATATTGGAAACACCCAAAGGTTACAATTAGCTTTATCAAAAAGTTGTATGACAAAAGTTTTAATATTTACAGAAGTATAAGCCTTAGCTTTTTTTAAAAGTTCAAAATGGCTGATGTTTTTTCAGATTTCCATCCCAACCTATTTGCTGTTTCATGTGCTTAACATGGTCAAGTAGTCTATAGTCTTGACATCATACAAATTGTAAAAAAAAAAAAAGTATCCCCTGAAAATAAACATGGTCAAGTAGTCTATAGTCTTGACATCATACAAAGTGTAAAAAAAAAAAAAATATCCCCTGAAAATAAACATGGTCAAGTAGTCTATAGTCTTGACATCATACAAATTGTAAAAAAAAAAAAAATATCCCCTGAAAATAAACATGGTCAAGTAGTCTATAGTCTTGACATCATACAAAGTGTAAAAAAAAAAAAAATATCCCCTGAAAATAAACATGGTCAAGTAGTCTATAGTCTTGACATCATACAAAGTGTAAAAAAAAAAAAATATCCCCTGAAAATAAACATGGTCAAGTAGTCTATAGTCTTGACATCATACAAATTGTAAGAAAAAAAAATATCCCCTGAAAATAAAACTAATTTTCATTCAAAATGTGTATTAGATTTTATAAGTAACTAATGCATTTTCTTGTACCACTGTTTAGTAATTCATTCTTATGAAGCTAACACCAACTGGCTGCATTACAAGTGTCTTAAAATTGAGTGACAAAATTTGCCACAGCCAACATACAGCCATTAAGAACTAAATAAAATCTTCTAAAGAAAAACTCAAGATTTGAAAAGTAATTAAGAACTAAATAAAATCTTCTAAAGAAAAACTCAAGATTTGAAAAGTAATTAAGAACTAAATAAAATCTTCTAAAGAAAAACTCAGACTTGAAAAGTTATTTCAACTCAACGTTGGCTCAACTATTGAACCAATCATTTACCTGGAGCCATTAAACTGTAAAAAGCACCACAAAACTGTTCAAATTTATGAGACAAATATCTCTCATTAGTAGATGATAATTCTTCTGGTGAGGTGGGGTCAGAGGTCAGCAAAGATGTGTGTCCTGCTGAAGCTATAGAAGAAGCTTGCCCTAAGCACACAAGAGCAAATCAATGTTACACTAAGTTAGGACCAGAGACACACTAATTAAGTTTGGACCAGAGACACACTAATTAAGTTCGGACCAGAGACACACTAATTAAGTTGGACCACAGACACACTAATTAAGTTTGGACCAGAGACACACTAATTAAGTTTAGACCAGAGACACACTAATTAAGTTTGGACCAGAGACACACTAATTAAGTTTGGACCAGAGACACACTAATTAAGGTCGGACCAGAGACACACTAATTAAGTTTGGACCTGAGACACACTAATTAAGTTTTGACCAGAGACACACTAATTAAGTTTGGACCAGAGACACACTAATTAAGTTTTGACCAGAGACACACTAATTAAGTTTGGACCTGAGACACACTAATTAAGTTTGGACCAGAAACAATGTTATACTAATTAAGTTTGGACCAGAGACACACTAATTAAGTTTGGATCAGAGACACACTAATTAAGTTTGGACCAGAGACACACTTATTAAGTTTGGATCAGAGACACACTAATTAAGTTTGGACCAGAGACACACTAATTAAGTTTGGACCAGAGACACACTAATTAAGTTTTAGAACAGGGACACACTAATTAAGTTTGGACCAGAGACAAACTAATTAAGTTTTGACCAGTGAAACACTAATTAAGGTTGGACCAGAGACACACTAATTAAGGTCGGACCAGAGAGAATCTTACACTAATTAAGTTTGGACCAGAGACACACTAATTAAGTTTGGACAAGAGACACACCAATTAAGTTTGGACCAGAGACACACTAATTAAGTTTGGACCAGAGACACACTAATTAAGTTTGGACCAGAGACAGTGTTACGCTAATTAAGTTTGGACCAGAGACACTAATTATGTTTGGACCAGAGACACACTAATTAAGTTTGGACCAGAGACACACTAATTAAGTTTGGACCAGAGACAGTGTTACACTAATTAAGTTTGGACCAGAGACACACTAATTATGTTTGGACCAGACACACACTAATTAAGTTTGGACCAGAGACACACTAATTAAGTTTGGACCAGAGACACACTAATTAAGTTTGGACCAGAGACAGTGTTACACTAATTAAGTTTGGACCAGAGACACACTAATTAAGTTTGGACCAGAGACACACTAATTAAGTTTGGACCAGAGACAGTGTTACACTAATTAAGTTTGGACCAGAGACACACTAATTAAGTTTGGACCAGAGACACACTAATTAAGTTTGGACCAGAGACACACTAATTAAGTTTGGACCAGAGACACACTAATTAAGTTTCGAACAGAGACACACTAATTAAGTTTGGACCAGAGACAATGTTAAACTAATTAAGTTTGGACCAGAGACAGTAATTAAGTTTGGACCAGAGACACACTAATTAAGTTTTGACCAAAGACACACTAATTAAGTTTGGACCATCAGCACCAACAGACATGACATCTATCAGCACCAACAGACATGCCATCAGCACCAACAGACATGCCATCTATCAGCACCAACAGACATGCCATCAGCACCAACAGACATGCCATCAGCACCAACAGACATGCCATCAGCACCAACAGACATGCCATCTATCAGCACCAACAGACATGCCATCTATCAGCACCAACAGACATGCCATCTATCAGCACCAACAGACATGCCATCAGCACCAACAGACATGACATCTATCTGCACCAACAGACATGCCATCAGCACCAACAGACATGCCATCTATCAGCACCAACAGACATGCCATCAGCACCAACAGACATGCCATCAGCACCAACAGACATGCCATCTATCAGCACCAACAGACATGCCATCTATCAGCACCAACAGACATGCCATCAGCACCAACAGACATGACATCAGCACCAACAGACATGACATCAGCACCAACAGACATGCCATCTATCAGCACCAACAGACATGCCATCAGCACCAACAGACATGCCATCTATCAGCACCAACAGACATGCCATCTATCAGCACCAACAGACATGCCATCAGCACCAACAGACATGCCATCAGCACCAACAGACATGCCATCAGCACCAACAGACATGCCATCAGCACCAACAGACATGCCATCAGCACCAACAGACATGCCATCTATCAGCACCAACAGACATGCCATCAGCACCAACAGACATGCCATCTATCAGCACCAACAGACATGCCATCTATCAGCACCAACAGACATGCCATCAGCACCAACAGACATGCCATCTATCAGCACCAACAGACATGCCATCTATCAGCACCAACAGACATGCCATCAGCACCAACAGACATGCCATCTATCAGCACCAACAGACATGCCATCAGCACCAACAGACATGCCATCAGCACCAACAGACATGCCATCTATCAGCACCAACAGACATGCCATCTATCAGCACAAACAGACATGCCATCTATCAGCACCAACAGACATGCCACCAGCACCAACAGACATGCCATCTATCAGCACCAACAGACATGCCATCTATCAGCACCAACAGACATGCCATCTATCAGCACCAACAGACATGCCATCAGCACCAACAGACATGCCATCAGCACCAACAGACATTCCATCTATCAGCACCAACAGACATGCCATCTATCAGCACCAACAGACATGCCATCAGCACCAACAGACATGCCATCTATCAGCACCAACAGACATGCCATCTATCAGCACCAACAGACATGCCATCTATCAGCACCAACAGACATGCCATCTATCAGCACCAACAGACATGCCATCTATCAGCACCAACAGACATGCCATCTATCTGCACCAACAGACATGCCATCTATCAGCACCAACAGACATGCCATCTATCAGCACCAACAGACATGCCATCTATCAGCACCAACAGACATGACATCAGCACCAACAGACATGCCATCTATCAGCACCAACAGACATGCCATCTATCAGCACCAACAGACATGCCATCTATCAGCACCAACAGACATGCCATCTATCAGCACCAACAGACATGCCATCTATCAGCACCAACAGACATGCCATCAGCACCAACAGACATGCCATCAGCACCAACAGACATGCCATCTATCAGCACCAACAGACATGCCATCTATCAGCACCAACAGACATGCCATCTATCAGCACCAACAGACATGCCATCTATCAGCACCAACAGACATGCCATCAGCACCAACAGACATGCCATCTATCAGCACCAACAGACATGCCATCAGCACCAACAGACATGCCATCTATCAGCACCAACAGACATGCCATCAGCACCAACAGACATGCCATCTATCAGCACCAACAGACATGCCATCTATCAGCACCAACAGACATGCCATCTATCAGCACCAACAGACATGCCATCTATCAGCACCAACAGACATGCCATCTATCAGCACCAACAGACATGCCATCAGCACCAACAGACATGACATCAGCACCAACAGACATGCCATCAGCACCAACAGACATGCCATCTATCAGCACCAACAGACATGCCATCAGCACCAACAGACATGCCATCTATCAGCACCAACAGACATGCCATCAACACCAACAGACATGCCATCTATCAGCACCAACAGACATGCCATCTATCAGCACCAACAGACATGCCATCAGCACCAACAGACATGCCATCAGCACCAACAGACATGCCATCTATCAGCACCAACAGACATGCCATCTATCAGCACCAACAGACATGAAATCTATCAGCACCAACAGACATGCCATCTATCAGCACCAACAGACATGCCATCAGCACCAACAGACATGCCATCTATCAGCACCAACAGACATGCCATCTATCAGCACCAACAGACATGCCATCTATCAGCACCAACAGACATGCCATCAGCACCAACAGACATGCCATCAGCACCAACAGACATGCCATCAGCACCAACAGACATGCCATCTATCAGCACCAACAGACATGCCATCTATCAGCACCAACAGACATGCCATCAGCACCAACAGACATGCCATCTATCAGCACCAACAGACATGCCATCTATCAGCACCAACAGACATGCCATCTATCAGCACCAACAGACATACCATCAGCACCAACAGACATGCCATCAGCACCAACAGACATGCCATCTATCAGCACCAACAGATATGCCATCTATCAGCACCAACAGACATGAAATCTATCAGCACCAACAGACATGCCATCTATCAGCACCAACAGACATGCCATCAGCACCAACAGACATGCCATCTATCAGCACCAACAGACATGCCATCTATCAGCACCAACAGACATGACATCTATCAGCACCAACAGACATGCCATCTATCAGCACCAACAGACATGCCATCTATCAGCACCAACAGACATGACATCAGCACCAACAGACATGCCATCTATCAACACATACAGACATGCCATCTATCAGCACCAACAGACATGCCATCTATCAGCACCAACAGACATGCCATCAGCACCAACAGACATGCCATCAGCACCAACAGACATGCCATCTATCAGCACCAACAGACATGCCATCTATCAGCACCAACAGACATGAAATCTATCAGCACCAACAGACATGCCATCTATCAGCACCAACAGACATGCCATCTATCAGCACCAACAGACATGCCATCAGCACCAACAGACATGCCATCAGCACCAACAGACATGCCATCTATCAGCACCAACAGACATGCCATCAGCACCAACAGACATGCCATCAGCACCAACAGACATGCCATCTATCAGCACCAACAGACATGCCATCTATCAGCACCAACAGACATGCCATCAGCACCAACAGACATGCCATCTATCAGCACCAACAGACATGCCATCTATCAGCACCAACAGACATGCCATCTATCAGCACCAACAGACATACCATCAGCACCAACAGACATGCCATCAGCACCAACAGACATGCCATCTATCAGCACCAACAGACATGAAATCTATCAGCACCAAAAGACATGCCATCTATCAGCACCAACAGACATGCCATCAGCACCAACAGACATGCCATC